TAGAATAGAATAGAATAGAATAGAATAGAATAGAATAGAATAGAATAACTTTGTCAATTTGAATGTACACTAATCGGCATACATTAAAAATGAAATTTCATTGCATATAGCTTTCAAAGGGTCACCCCTCCAATATACACTACATGACCATGACAGAGTAAAAATAGATAAATAAATAAATAAAATTTAAAAATATAAAATAAAAATACAAAATTATGCCTATACCCTCATATATGACAGAGAGAAACAACCCAGTCTAGTTCGGATACTTCGGTGTATAGCTGAACTGAATTTTTTTTTTTATGCCCTGGAATTAAAACAATCCACGGTACTTCATGGTTACAGGACCGTCTCCTGACGCCTCCCCTTCGCAGCGTGGCCAACTCGTGCCAGACCGCGGCTGGCCAGCGGCGTTCCTGACGGAGGGAGAAATAGCCTGGAAGGCGGAGGGAGTCATTCGCTCTGCACGTGACCGCCGGAGCGAAAACGGCCGCCCTGCTGGCGCTGCCCCCGTCGCCCGGCTATGCGGCTGGCCCAGCCAGGCCTGGCCTGGGGCAAAGGCGGGAAGATCGGGGATGGGCAAGGCAGATTGGCAGCGGACCGTGGAGGCGGAGTCCGACCCCCAGGCGGCGCGGGATATAAGGAAGATGCCTCTCGCCGGCCGGGCTGGCAACCAGCGAGTCCCCGACGGCTGCGGACAGCGGGAGATCTTTCGGGAGCGCCCAAGAGGATGGAGGTGTACAGCAAAGCGGAGACCCTCGCACTGCGGCAGAAACTCATCGGGTGAGCGGAAAGGGCCAAGCCCAGGAGCTGGGCGGATGGAGCGGGGACAAGGGCGGGCGTCGGAGGGTCGCCCTTCTACTCCGGCCCCCAGTCCGAGGCCGCCAATTTTTCCCGACGGGAAAGAACCCGTCCAGCTGAAGATGGACTCCCCTTTGAAAGTCAGCCTGGGCGCGTCCAGAATGGGAAGAGGGCTTCCCTCTGGACGGTTTAGGGCAGGGGTCTCCAACCTTGGCCACTTGAAGACTTGTGGACTTCAACAGAGTTGAAGTCCACAAGTCTTCAAGTGGCCAAGGTTGGAGACCCCTGGTTTAGGGTTGCGGGACCCCTGGTTTAGGGTTGGAGACCCCTGGTTTAGGGTTCTGGGATTTGAAGTCCACAAGTCTTCAAGTGGCCAAGGTTGGAAACCCCTGGTTTAGGGTTGCGAGACCCCTGGTTTAGGGTTGGAGACCCCTGGTTTAGGGTTAATGCTGAAGATAATACTGAGGCTTCCTTACCGAGGGGCATATTTACTTACCAGAATAACACCTTTTCTGAAACCTGTTACTTTCAGAATTTTTACAATGGAAAAGACATACAGCTACCCTTGGTTTACAAGCTCCTATGAATTTTTCCTTTTTTATTAGTTTCAAATTTCCCTATAAAAGCCAACAAAACCTGCATGGAGTTTTTTTCCTGAGCTCTGCAGAGTTCTGTTGCAGTTGCATACATTTTAAACAAATCTTACATAAACTAGACCGATTGCTTATTGCTGTTTGATTTTGCATTACAGGTTGCATTTTAGAAACTTTTAATTTTGATTATTCCTACATTTACTAACTTTCAGTGACATTTACACTTGCGGTATACTTATTTTTATTTTGTAATGTGTGGACGTCCTATAAATAGTGAAAATATTTCACTTTTTCATTTCTATCTTCCACCCATGCTTTCATATCTTGGTTTCCAATGATTTCACTTCTGTAAAAATTAACACCTAAAAGACTAGATCAGTGTTAATTTCCCTAAAGAATATGTGATAAATATAGTAAGCAAGCTAAGATGCATGTATCATGAATTGGATTAGATGAGCCAATTTTAGATGCCAGTGTTGACATGCTGACATATAACCATCGGTTTATGTAACCATCAGCAAGTGTACTCGTAATTCTTGCAAAATCAGCCTGCTGATGTTACGCAAAACCAAAGTTGGTTTCCAAGACAAAAATTCTGTACAAACAAATAAGGGTTGTTTCTTCAGAGTTTTTGCAAAACACTGTTGCAAAAAAACAACAACAACCCTATTTTGTCTTTGCTGGTATATAAATAAAACCTTCCAAACATAAAAGTAGACAGACTTGTAAGTTATTTAGATTGGGGGGGTTTTCCCTCAATAACAGAACTGTGTTATTGATTTGTCTTTCCTTGCACACAATTTATTCCCCAGATGGAATGAACCTTTTCATTCATCCCCAGAAACAAATCTAGGACAGGTCAGACAGCAAGTGGGAGGGGGGTTGCTCTCCTTTTTTATAATGTGTTTAAAGGTCTATTGTTTCAAAATGGTTACTTGGTTAAAACTTGATTGAGGTTCTTAGCTTGGAACAGAGGAACCTGTTCACATGGTTTTTAAAATGGATTGTAGGAAAAAAAGTTCTCAGTTAACAGATTACAGTAGAACTGTGATTCCAATTCAAACACCCAACTCCATTGGTATATCAACACTTGCTGTCATCACTAAGTGTCTTGCAGATTAATGACTGAATTGGCTAAACTGAATTGTCATGTTAGCTGTTTTGACCTGGCACGGCCTTTCTTCAAATTCCTCATACTGAACAATGAATGTGCATGCATCATGAACTTCAGCTCTGTTTAATGTATCGCCAAGCACATGAATAGGTCTCAGTGCTAAAGGACCACTGAAAGTCAAGAATGCAAAGCATTTTTGTGTTTGTATACATGCAGGCTTAGCAACGCTGTTGAGCTGATCCAAACTAAAACAATTCGGTATCATCTCTTACAGGCCATCATGCAAAGTTTTCTTTGCTAAAGATCCCATTAAGATTGTGCGGGCTCATGGACAATATATGTTCGATGAGAATGGAGAAAAATACTTGGATTGCATTAACAATGTAGCACACGGTAAGAATTTAGGATTCTGCTAATGTCCCAACTTCAACTACAATCAAATTACCAAATTGACACATTAGGTATAACACAAGCAATGGCGTGAAGCTCACATTTTCTACCAGAAACGTTTCCGTTAATGGGCAAAGTACATAAATTTTCAAGTTTAGAAAAGAAAGCTTAAGTAAAGGGAAAAAAGGATTTCCTCACAAAGGAGCATGGTCCAGCATCTGTATCTTTTCAGACCAGGAGTGTAAACTTGGTTTTATTGAGGGTTGGGGGACTGGGGGGCTGCATCAGGGTTGGGGGACTGGGAGGTGTATGTGGCTGGGGGGTGGCAGCCAGGGGGGGCATGGCCAGCTCAACATCACTCATTGAAGCTTCATTTTTGGCCGCAATGGCCTCCTGCAGCCCCCTGCCAGTGAAAACAGAGCCCAGGGGGATGGTGCGTGGCCCACCCAAGCTCTGTTTTCACTGGCAGAAGGCTGCAGGAAGCCATCGTGGCTGAAAATGGAGCCCGATGGGCTGTGCACGGCCCTCCTGATCTCCTTTTTTGCTGACAGAAGCACCGCAGGCCGGTCCTTTGCTGTTTTCAGGGTGGCCCTGTGGGTCAGATCTAAGCATGCCACGGCCTGGATTCTTGAGTTTGACACCCCTGTTCTAGACCCACAGGGACAGCTATGCTGAGCAAAAGAAAAAATTTGATAAGTTGAAGGATCCAATCTGAGCTGGTCACCAGGACCAAAGGTTTAGTTTTCCAAGCTTTTGGGGCTCGTGCTGGAACCCATCCTCAGCAGACTTCTTTGTCTGCAGAATGTGTGCATTGGGCTGTTCTATGTGTTGTATTTATATGGTCAGTTAGGATGGTAAGGGTCAACATCCTAATTAACAACCAAAAGCCACACAGGAACAGGCAATAATTGCCTTCATTTTGATACGTGTCTACAGCAATGGTGAAAGCAAACCATTAAGCCAGGACAGAATAAGAACCTTACACTGTGTTGCTAGAGAGATCCGTGGACTAAGAGCTTTCCTGTACTTGATCCTTTTTAGTTGGACACAGCCATCCTGATGTAGTCAAGGCTGCAGTGAAACAAATGGAGCTGCTTAATACCAATTCTCGATTCCTGCATGACAATCTGGTCCAGTACGCCAAACGCCTCACAACTACCCTACCAGAGAAGCTTTCTGTTTGCTACATTGTGAACTCTGGGTATGTTGGAAGGACTTTTCTGCCAGCTCCCTGGATCATAAGAAGCCTGTTAAGAAAGAAAAATTTCTTCCTTTCTCCTTCATGTAGTTGAGGGCATATTTGTTTTGAATGACAAATAGTTGCTGCTATTTATTTAACACCAATCCCTTTTTGTTAATAAATCCTGCTTAAGAAACTCTGTGACAATCATGTTTAGAAATAATTAAAATCATTTTTTGGCAACTGCCAAAGTTCCTTATACAAAGATTCTATAGATGTGTGGAAATATGTATGGGCAACCTTTTGGTTTTAATGCCCAAAGAGAAACCTGTTGTATATGCAAGTTTGATTGCAATTCAGGCAGTTGCCCTGCTTTTATCTGATTGAAACAGATGTAACAACCTGCAATGTTAATATTTTAATATTGTGTTTATGCCATAAACACATTTCTGCTGTTTGTTTCAATTACTATGTTTTGGGCTAAAACCCCTGAACTGCTTTTCTAATACTCTTTTACAGCTCTGAAGCAAATGACCTTGCTTTGCGCCTGGCTCGGCAGTACAGTGGTCACTATGATGTGATAACCCTTGACCAGTAAGTGTGCAGAGTGTATGTGTGACGTCAGCTCTTTGCAACATAAAATAATAAGTGCTGCAATAGCTGATTATCTGTTGACTTGAATCACATCAATGCAGGCATAGTTTATGATGAATTTTTATTCATATAGAAATTCACTTTGAGTTGTACAACCTCAGTCATTTATATGAAATGTGGGAGGACGAATTGGTTGATCTGTAATTATTCAGTAGAACCATTTTATTTACTTTTTAGCATTTAGCATTAGAATCTGAACTTACATACTGTCCCATAGTGCTTTACAGCACTCACTGGGTGGCTTGTAATGTCAGCATTATTTGCATATTGCCCCCAACAATCTGGGCCCTCATTTTCCTGACATTGGAAGGATGAAAGGCTGAGTCAACCTGCCCCAATTAGGATCAAACTCTAGACCAGGGGTGTCAAACTTGATTTCATTGAGGGCTGCATCAGGGTTGTGTTTGACCTCGGGGGTGGGAGGCGTGGCCAGCTTGACGTCACTCGTGTCGGGGGCGCCTGTGGTGGCCCGAGCTCTCTGCCAGCAAAAACAGGCTCCCGAGGTCTGTTTTCAGCCGTGAGGGCCTCCTGCCAGTGAAAACGGAGCTTGGGGGCGCACGCGCAGCCCTCCTGGGCCCCATTATTGGCCACAATGGCCTCCTGCAGCCCTCTGCCAGCAGTCCCCGAGCTCTGTTTTCACTGGCAGAGGCACCCCAGGTCAGTCCTTCACTGTTTCCAAGGCAGCCCTGCGGGCCAGATCTAAGCACCCCGCAGGCCAGATTCCACCCCCCCCCCGGGGCCTTGAATTTGACACCCCTGCTCTAGACTATGGGCTGCAAATGCTGTACTTAACCATGTGCCACCAGTGGGTTATTTATTTATTATTATGCTCATGATAGTCTGCTTTTCTTCACATAGAGATGATAGATAGATAGATAGATAGATGATAGATAGATAGATAGATAGATAGATAGATAGATAGATAGATAGAT